AAAGGCCTCGGGGGGCCACATCCGGGCCTTAGGTTGCCTACCCCTGATCCAAAGTGTCATCTTCCTCAGGTTGGCTGACCAGTGCCAAAACATCCAACCACAAGTTCAAGTGAGAAGAGGTTGGTTTTATCTGCAATGGGCACATGCCAATAATCAATAAATGGGAACCATTTCTCTATGAATTATTGTTGACCTTTTTCCCCCACCTTTTGCATTTGTTCAAACTGTCCAACAGCTTTGCAAGAAGCCACAGATCCCAAATCTTTTTCCACCGGTTGTCTAAATGTACTGTCCCAGTTTTCCAGCCTTTAGCCATTTCAGTACACTTTCCTGCCATTTAAAAAGGCAATCAGAGATCAGTGCTTCAAAGCCCTGTTTGCAGCCATATAAATAGACAACCATAGAAGACCAGAATAGTATTTGACTTCTTGTTTGGTAATTAATGAAAACTGTGTTAGAATAGTATGCCAGAAGGATAATGCCAGAAGGATAATCTAGCCACATATGCGTAAACATCCCTTAAAGTATCACATCCTCTCCAGCATTTTGGGAATACAGTTTTCACTGTCTTTGCTACTTGTGAATGATTTCCAGAGCATTCTCTCTGGTTAATGCTGATCCTGATTTGAGGGGGAGTGAAGACCACATAGTAACACGTTCTGCTTCCAAAACTGTTATATCTAGACCTGTCTCCCAAGTTGATTTAAAAGTATGCCCTTTACTGTATTCTGAAAATTAAACAATTGTAGGTTAGGGATGCCAGTCCCTTAGTTTTTTTCCATAGCCCCTTCACATGTTTTTCCATAAGGTTCTTGGAGTCTCTCCTTTCGCTACTAGGGCAAAGTTGGTACCATATGGTCACTAGTGACTGTATATTTAAGAGGAAATTCTCATACTTTTTATACATTAGGCCATTCTGGCTACATTCAAGTAAACAATTAATTTTAAAAAGTTCTGTTATGAAGGGATAACTGGTTAAAGAACATAAAGGGTAAACCCAGAGTCAGCAGTACTTGCAGTGGAGGGATATACAGTCTTACCTTCACATTTGCAGTTTTGATTATTCGTGGCTTTAATATGTTCTCTCTAGGAATCTCTAGTCCTCCAGTACAACTCTGTGGTTGGAGTCCATCAGAAGTCACACTGGACAACTTAGATCAGGGGTAGGCAACCTTTCCCCTTTAAGGGCCGAGAGACTTCAGCTCCCAGAATCCCAGGAGCTATTGGCCAACATGGGACTATTGGCCAACATGGCTGAGGCTTCTGGGAGCTGAAGTCCCTCGGCCCTTAAAGGGGAAAGGTTGCCTACCCCTGACTTAGATATTCCCAGAGAGAACAATTATCTAGGCATTTGTAAGTCCTCCAATGCAATTCTATAGTCTTCTTCTGGCAGATGTTGACCATAGACTTGCGCTGGAGGACCTAGAGATTCCTAGAGAGATCACTTCCCTAGGCATTTGTAGGTCCTCAAGCACAATTCTATAGTCAACCTCTGGTGGATGTTGGCCATAGAGTTGTGCTGGAGGACCTAGAGATTCCTAGTGAGGGGTTCTTTCAGGTTAAAAAAATAGTGTGTGTGTTTTTTATTTGCAGTTTTTCCATGTTTACAGGGATCCTGCAACCCTAACCCCAGCGAATGTGGAGGTCCCACTGTATACAGTTACTTCATCTATGGTTGCTGGGACTAGAATTGTTTAATACAGGGGTAGGCAACCTTTCCCCTTTAAGGGCCGAGGGACTTCAGCTCCCAGAATCCCAGGAGCTAATGGCCAACATGGGACTATTGGCCAACATGGCTGAGGCTTCTGGGAGCTGAAGTCCCTCGGCTCTTAAAGGGGAAAGGTTGCCTACTCCTGGTTTAATACGACCATAAATTACATGGAGTTATCAGCAAACAGTAAGATGGACATGACTACTGATGACGGCAAATTACACAGGGTAGCTAGAACAAACTCTCAGCACAGGATTTCAAATGGCAGCTGCAGTTTAGTGCAAGCATGAAGTAATGAACATTGGGACAAATAATCCCAACTTCATTTAAGAACCCATAGATTCTGAGCTGGCATAGCCAACAAGGAAAAGATCTAGGAAATTCCATACTTTCCTAGAGTTGTGGATACCTTATGAAAACGCTTCCCCATGTGTGGCTGCTATGAAAATGGCAGGTTCGGTCTTGAGTGTAATTAGAAAATGAATAAAAAATAACAGTGCCAAATTCACAGTGCTCTTACATAAATCTCTGGCGTGATTCTACTTGGAGAGTTCTAGCCACACCAAAATGGATATTGTAGAGATGGAAAATGTGTTAGGAAGGACAACTTGGATGATCAAATGGCAGCAGCACTTTTTCCACAAGAAAAGTAAGAGGACACATAAAAGGAGTACATACATGCCGTAGAGAAAATGCATACTATACAATATAATTTTAGAACCTACAATCATTCACTGAAGTTGAAAGGAAGGAGATTCAAAGGATGGAATTTCCTACTACAGGAAGTAATAATTAAGTAATGTTTAACATGGATTATTAACAAACTCATGAAGGGTA